CCCCGCCGCGCTGCAGCCGCTCGCTGCTTGGCGATAGGAATGCGCGTGGCCATTGCATTCCTTGCATGCCGGCAGGGGCACGTGGCAACCCCTGTGCTGCTGTACGGGGCCTGGAATGGGCTGTTCGCTGCCCCTCGTCCTCCGGTGACCCAGCATCTTCGCATCCACACTCATGACAGGCGCCAGGCCGCCTGCTGAGAGCAGAGGGCAGCGCTTGGACGCGAACGTGGAGCCTGGCACTAGCCTGGCTGTGAGCAGGGACGGTTTCTGCAGGCCGCATGTGCTAACCTGACCGTATCTCCTCTCAGTGCCCAGTGACTTGACCCCGGAGGAGTGCCAGGAGCTGGAGAACATCCGTCGCCGCAAGCAGGAGCTGCTGGCTGACATACAGGTACGGGTGCTGAGGGCTGTTGCAGTGCCTCTTTGTACGTGCTTCTGCTGCCCCTGCCTTGGCAGCCTGTTGCTCGGGGTTCTCTCCATGGGAGGCAGCACGTGTCACTGGGCAGGACTGTGTGCAGCCCCGTTTGGGGTCCTTTACCTGGCTCTCGGGGAAGGGGGAGGATGAGAAACCACTCAAGGGCCCAGCAAGCTGTTTTCTGTCCTGCTGGGGGAAGAGGCTGCTCTGCTCAGCGCTGTCCTGCCCATACCTGTCGTATTGCTGCATTTTGCAGGAGAGATGTGGGAGGGGATGGGTTGTGGGACTGGCTGCTCAGTGGGACCCTTGTGGCCACATTGCATGGCCCAGACCGAGGATGTGCTGGCCTGGAGGATTGCAGCTTCGGGAAACCCCCTGCTTTGCTCACTCCTTCCTTCATGCTGGGCTCTGGCTATTCTCTGTAGTATTTGCCAGCCACCTCTCAGCCCAGGGGACAGTACTGAGCTGGGAACTGTGAGTGCTCCAACTCCTTCCTCCTCCTTGGGAATGCTGCTGGTGGGACTCGCACTGCTGGGCTACCCCAGCCCTGGCTCTTGGTGCTCAGCCTCTGGAGCGGGCCCTCGAGGGGAGCATGGGGCTGCCAGTCTGGCCCACCTGAAACAGCTGGAAGGGTCTGGGCCCTGCTTGCTGCAAGGTGCCAGAGACCCGCAGAGCCCTTAGAGGAGCAGGCCCTGCAGCAGGGGCGTGGGTCGGCCGTAGCTCCTGTTTGTGCTCCTGTCCCCTTGCCTTGCCAACTCTGCTGCTCCTCTTGGCCTGCAGAGGCTCTCCTGGAATTTCTGGGGCAGAAAATTGGAGCTGCTGGAAATGCAGAGCAAGGAGAGCTGGGCCCATGGGGTGGACTCCAGCAGCTGCTGCAGGGAGCCCATGATCTTTCCCCCTGCTTCCTCATAGCGCTGGCTCTCTGCTGCAGGGCTCTGGCAGGCTGGGGAGAGGATCCCTGCAGGGGACGTGGGCCCCAGCTGGCAATCAGCATGTTCTACAGGGCAGAGAGCGCAGTGGCTTTTCCTTGTGCCCTGCAGAGCCCTGGGCTTTGCGCTTCCTTGTGCTTTGCCCTGTGGCGTTGATGTCTCCTGTGCCATCCCCTCCCTGGCACTGGCAGGGGATGTGGGGCCAGGACATTGCCCTGGCAAGTGACTGCAAGGTCAGTGCTCATCTGGGACACTCATCAGTCATGTCCATGATTAAGGTAGCAGAGGCTAATTACTGCCATATGCTGGGCACGATCTGAAAGGATTAGGAGATAATGTTGTTAACCTCTGAATCTCTTCCTTCCTGCATGCATGGAGCATGGTGCTGTGGGGGGATTAGCAACAGGGTGCAGCCAGCTCCCTCACTGCCAAATGCCCCAGGAGCTGGTTCAGCTGCAGGGCCACGCTCGGGGCAGGAGGGAAGGAGAGTCTGCCTGGGCCTCTGGATGGGGAATGGCCCCAGAGCACCTGTCTCAGAGCAGGGATGCCTGGCCTTCAGATCCCTGGGTCTCACTGCCAGCTTGCAGGGTGCCCTTGGGCTCATTCCTGCCTCCATTGAATCCTAGTCCATGGGGATGCCTTGCCTGCTCTTGGAGGTGGGAGGGAAGGGAGCTCCTGAGCCCCACACTGCCTTCAGAGCTGGGGGTGGCTGGTGGGTTTACAAGAGAGAGAGGCACCTCCTGTTCCAGCACACGTCTCTTCCCTCAGCGGCTGAAAGATGAGATAGCAGAGGTGACGAATGAGATTGAGAACCTGGGATCCACGGAGGAGAGGTGAGTCCTCTGCTATCGCAGGATCGCAGCAGCAGCTGGTCGTCGGCAGACCTGGGGCCTTTGCCAAGCCCCTTCGCCTGCAGCGAGGCTGGCCCTGAGCGCCAGCTTGCCCACTCAGTGCGGCAGCACCGGGAGACCAAGCAGCACACCTCCATCCCACGCGTGCTGATGCAGGTGGCTTTCCCAGGCACTCTTAATTCTTTGAAGCAGTAACAGGATCACAGCCTGAATTGCTGCTCCAGAGGTCTGTTTTTCCAAGCCTCAGCCCCTGTCTGGCCACAGAGACTGTCTGACTTTGTTATTCTGAGCTGATACTGGCGGTGCCAGCATGGGATTAGGGGGCCTGACAGCCGATGGGAGCTGACTCGCAGCGTCATCTCCAATCACCCTCGCTCTGGCCCCACTGGGCCATAAAGGCTGCTCTCCCCAGAGCTCTACCATGCCAAGCTGCCAAGGCTTGCCCGGTCTCTCCCCATGCAGAGATGTCCTGTGGGGATGTTCTCTATGCCCAGCACCCCTTCTGCACGTGGAAGCCTGCCATGGGCCAGGCACAGCAGCTCCTTTGCTCTGGGGCCCAGCAGGCTGGCAGCAGCCTGTACTGGCCTGTTATGGAGCTGGGCAGAGATGTGGAGCGCAGTGTGCTGCCTTCACCCGCTGCAGTTTGTGCCCAGGTTCAATGGTGGCGGGGTCTGTGCCAACTGAAGGAGCTCAGCTTATTTTCATGTCCACGCTGACCATCTCCCTGCAGGGCTGTGCCCGAGGGGCGAGGGAGCGGGTGGAAGCCAGGTCTTTCCTCAGCGCTCAGAGCTGCTTTGTGCCTTGTAGGAAAAACATGCAGAGGAACAAGCAGGTGGCGATGGGCAGAAAGAAGTTCAACATGGATCCCAAGAAGGTACTGCCATGGTGTGCCAGATGGGGAGTGGAGTACCAGGCTTCAAATAGGGCCACATCGAAAGGGTGTTTGTCAGCCTGTCTGGGGACAGGGCACTGCTGGGGGCTCTGCCCGCTTCGTGGTCCGGGTGCCTGGCCGTCTCCCTGAGCTGGGAGCAGAGCTGGTGCCCAGGAGGCAGTGGCTGGGGAGATGGTGAGTGGGTTGATGGGGTCAACAGCAAGACCCAGAGCAGCACCTCTTGCACTGCTCCAGGGCATTCAGTTCCTGATCGAAAATGACTTGCTGAAGAACACATGCGAGGATATCGCTCAGTTCCTCTACAAGGGAGAGGGCCTCAACAAGACTGCCATCGGTGACTACCTGGGCGAGAGGTACATTGGGCCAGGGACGGGTCTCCCAAGGGTGCCCCGGGGTCAGGGTCACAACATGAGAGATGAGACACAGCAGCTTTTTGAGCTTCTAGGGCAGCCCTGCCAGCTGAGTGCAGGCATAAGGTCACAGGCATGTCCTGTGAGCCAGCAGGGCCTGGGGCTGGCTGTGGCTCCCTAGCAGGACAGGGGGCTACTGGCCTGGCACAAGCCTCCTGCCAGCCCCTTGCTGAGTGCCAGGGCTGGCTGGTGGGCTATGTGACCTGTAGCTGATGCTTGCAGAAGGCCTGTGCGTGCACACCAGCGCAGGACTTGTGCCAGGACATAGCTGTAGGTTTCCCACTCACAAACAAGCAGAGTCTGGGACAGGGCAGGGAGAGATGGGGCCCTTGTGCAGCTCGGCAGTCACAGGCCTGGCTGATCATGCATCCTTCATGCTCTGGCTTTGTTCCTGCAGGGATGAGTTCAACATCCAAGTTCTGCATGCCTTCGTGGAGCTGCATGAGTTCACCGACCTCAACCTCGTGCAGGCCCTGCGGTGAGTGAGGGGCTGAGGCAGGGAGCTGAGCTGTATCCCGCGTGGCACTGCCTGCACCCCGGCTGGGGAGATGGGCAAAGGGCTTGCAGTGGGGCGTAGTGGTGTGAGCGGGGCTGGAGGGCATGTGGGTCTGGAGCCCCTAAAGCAGTGTGACACCTTGCTGTCCACAGGCAGTTCCTATGGAGCTTCCGGCTCCCTGGGGAGGCTCAGAAGATCGACCGAATGATGGAGGCGTTCGCCCAGCGGTACTGCCAGTGCAACCCTGGGGTCTTCCAGTCCACAGGTGAGAGGCTGCCTCAGCACCCTCTCCCTAGCCGTCCGGCACTGCAGCTGACTTTCCCCCTCTGTCCCTGTAGACACATGCTACGTACTCTCCTTCGCCATCATCATGCTGAACACCAGCCTGCACAACCCCAACGTCAAGGACAAGCCCACAGCCGAGCGCTTCATTGCCATGAACCGAGGCATCAATGACGGGGGGGACCTACCTGAGGAGCTGCTCAGGGTGAGGGACAGGGTGCAGAGGGCCAGGGGTTGGGGTGCAGAGCCGGCTTTTTGCAGGGCTCCCGGGGGGCAGAGATGACACCATGTGTCTTTGTATCAGAATCTCTATGAGAGCATCAAGAATGAACCCTTCAAAATCCCTGAGGATGACGGCAATGACCTCACCCATACCTTCTTCAACCCTGACCGAGAGGGCTGGCTCCTGAAGCTAGGTGAGTGCTGACAAAGGGGAGGACGTGACCCGGGGAGGACAAACTCTCCCCTGGGAATGGAGCTGGGCCATGGGTGCAAGCCACCTGCCTGGAAGCAGGGCCCGGCGCCAGGGCTGCCTGCACCTAGCCTTCTGGCCCAGCTCCTTGGAGTGGGGCTCTGCAGAGGAGCGGGAGGCTGCAGACATGGGCTCAGCTCACGGGGAAAGCGTCCGTACATCCAGCAGCCCTCTGTCTTCCCTGGGCTTGGCAGGACCGGAGCCGCAGCTGACAAGGCCCCGCAGCGTGGCTAGGTGGGCTTCCCAGGAGATTCTGCCTGCGTTGCCCGCTGTAGGATGGGCAAGTCCTGGGGCACAGAGCTGGTAACAGGGTCTGACGTCAGAGCACAGAGACCACAAGGCCCTTCTCGTCACCGAGTCACAGCCATGTCCTGTTGGAGCAGGCCCCAGGGAGCGAACGGCGAGCTGCCCCCAGGCTGCGTGCGTCCCCCTTCCATGCCACAGACCGGTCCCTGCCTCACCTTCCCACAGCATTGTCACCTCCGCATCCCGGCTCCACATGCAGGCAGCGTGCATGGCATCCCCGCGGCCCCACTGCAGAACCCCAGCTCTCGCAGACCACGAGCCGTGCCCCACGCCTTGGCTCCTGTGGCTTCTCATCTCGGCAGCTGTTAGGGGATTTTCCGCCTGGGTTGAAGGAGGAAAGCGGGAGGGAGGTGGGTGCTGGCAGGAGCAGGTTCTGGCAGCAGCCTTTCCCTGAGGCTCTTGGTAGGGTTGGGACTCTGTCCTCTAATTGGGGGGTGTTTCTGCTGTTTTGCCACCCCCTTGCGACTGGAAAGGGGCCCTACCCCTTCACATGCTCTGACTAGAGCAGAGCGCTGCCCCGCTGCCAGGCAGGGCTGTGCTGGGTGTTTAACCAGGAGCTGTCCACCTCCAGCTCTGGGTAGGGAGGACATGGGGGCCCTTGGAGAGCCGCAGACCTGCCTCTCCCGGTCCTGAGCGAGCACAGTGCAGAAGTGCCTCGCACAAGGGCAGGTCATCTCCCACCTGCACTGGGAACGTTTGCAGCTCAGGAGGTCAGAGAGGCCATCAGAGCATCCCTGCGCCCCCGTGGGCACAGCCGCCATGCTCACGGCAGCCCCCCGCCTGGCTCG